GTTTGTTCTGCAGAAGGGAGCACAAAGTGATCCTGTGAAACAGCATTAATGAAGTTCTTGTACATCTCAGTTGAGAAGCATTCCATCACAGGCCTTAGACAATCAGTCTTCAGCAAGAGACGGGGAGGAACAGCTGGGCTCTCTGAGAAGACTGCTGTATGTCTGCCTTCGCTAGGCGATTAGCGTGATGGTAGCCATAGCAACTGCAGCATCTCCATAGTAACACGTAGCCGAGACAGGTGCAGTTGCATCACAAGGCTGTTTGTTGCCTGGCAAAAGGACAGGCCATTAGTACTTAGATATGGGCTGTTGCCTTAGAAACAAATAACCCTACATAGCAACTACAGTTGGCTTGAAAGATTTGGGGGCAAAAAAGGTTGTAGCAGCTTTTGTCTATGTTCATAAAAATCAGTGGAAGCATACTTTATTGGAAATGACAACTTGAGGTCATATAGCTGTAGGAGATAAAATGGGATTTTCCAAAGCAGCCCAGCCAGCATTGTAGAAATGTCCAGAAGGGCAGAGCCATATGCTTGGTTTTCTCCTTGTGGCCGTAACCACTCCTGAAATGGGAGAAAACTGGGTTTGGAGTGGAGACTTACTGATATGCAGGGTTGATGGGGGAGGGGATGACCCTCATTATTGGAATAATTCCCAGATTCTCATGTTCCTTTGTCATTCTGCTCCCCTCACCCTCCACACCCCACAGAAAACCCTTCACTTTCCTCCCAGTTTGTACCTCGGAAGTATTTCGTATCCTTTTGCTTCTAAGAAGTTAAGAACATAAGTGTTATTCACTGGGTCACATCGCTGGTTCATTTAGGCCAGTATTTTGTTGCCAAACGCGACCCCAAGGGAAACACAGTAATTATTTAATAATTTGAAGGATTATGGTAGAGCTCTAGAGGTTGCAAGAGGAATGCATACTCAGGCGAGAGGCTTTATGAGCTGGCCTAAGCCTAATGATGTCATTTGATTTTTTAATATAGGAATAAAAATGCAGATGAACTGGAACTTTTGTAACGAAAATAATTTCCAAACGAAAACTTCAGATCCCAGTATGTCACATCCAGTTCCTTTTCTCCCAGTTGACTGAGGGGAAAAGAAAGTTTCTGCCTCTACCCATGCGGGAGCTTAGATTTCACCTCCATAAAGATTACTGGATGTGGAGTGAGAAGACAGACCAGATTTCAGCCTGCCTCTTCCATGTCTGAACTCTAAGAACAAGTCACTTTCTCTTTCCCGGGGACTATAGTTCCTTCATCTGAAAGCTTAGAGTTTGCTTCAGTATCCTGTAGTGTGTAAAATTGTACTAAGGGTCCTAAATGCTGGATGATTGTATAATATTCGTATAGCTGACAGTGATGTAGTCCTGTTCTAAGCCATCGGGCCACTTGTGGACGTGACTTAGGGAAGGTGGAAGTGGGACAAAGCGAGTCATTAAACAGGGACCACAAATGATGACCTGACACGATCTGGCTGGGTCCTCTGTGATGCAGGGAATCACCTGTCTGCCCCGCAGGATTGCTGTGAGGGGCACCTGGGAAGCACTTGGATTTCACAGAGCTGGTACTTAGCATGCTGAAGATGGTGATTATACTAGATGGGTGGTTATTGCTAGTACTTGCAGGTGTGCTTGGCAAGTAGTGCTCTGAACCAAGCTGCAGGTGGCTGGAAACTCTGCAGGGAAAATGAAGCATCTGAAAACACTGACCCCGAAAGCTTGTTCACGTCCAAATATGATGCTCAATACTGCCACACGGAGATTGTGCCTCTGTTTTCCAGTATACCCTTTTGAATATTTGTTAGAAACATCACTGTGATCTCTGTCTTCATCTTCACTGTGTGCTGCACTTTGTTCTTCCTGTGTGCCGTGTCCAAATTTCCCTTTTTTAGAAGGACATCGGTTATACTGGATTAGGGGACTACCCTATTCAGTATGATCTAATCTCTTTTTTTTCGGTGGTACGCGGGCCTCTCACTGTTGTGGCCTCTCCCGTTGCGGAGCACAGGCTCCGGACGCGCAGGCTCAGTGGCCATGGCTCACGGGACCAGCCGCTCCGCGGCATGTGGGATCTTCCCGGACCGGGGCATGAACCCGCGTCCCCTGCATCGGCAGGCGGACTCTCAACCACTGCGCCACCTGGGAAGCCCAGTATGATCTAATCTTAACTAATTACATCTCCAATGACTCTATTCCCAAATAACATCACATTCTGAGGTACTGGTAACCAGGACTTTAATGTGAATTTTTTTTTGTATGTTGGAGGGGGAACACAAAATTCATCCCATCACAACCCTTTTCGTAAGTAAGGCATTTCACTACTAAAAATATGGAGAAGCAGAAAGTAAGGAAGTGTTCAGAAAACAAGGATGTAAAAAGCATACCAGAGCCAACCTGAATTTGCTCCCAGTGGCCAAAGCTGGGATAATATGAACAACAAATAAATAACATAGCATTGGGATATAACCCCAAATATAAAATACATGTCTGTGAATCCATACTGATATAAATAAATGCTCAAATAAATAAATGAGTGTAGAGACAAATTTCCCATACGGAAGAATTCTAAATAATTTAGAATTAGTTTAACTCCCCACCCCTTGAGTGGCTGCACTTAATGACTTACTTCCAAAGAGCAGAGTATGGAAAGGGGGTGGAAAAGGAAGTTTATGGTGGAAAACCTGGCAAACACTACCTAGGCCAGGTGGTCAAAGCTAACAGCATCTGTGATGTGAAGTTGACAAGAGGTACCAGTGATAACGATGCCAAGAAATGATCCCTTCACCTTTGTTGTCCTCCTCCCCCAGATCTTCTCTGTAATCAGAGAAATAACTTCTCTGTAATCAGAGAAAAACATTAGGCAAGGTTTTGTGCCCAAGGTGGTGCGGCGGGGGGGGGGGGGCTTTTAAAAAAACCTGACTAATTGTCTTCAAAGCTGTCAGGTCATCAAAAACAAGGAAAGTCTGAGAAACTGTTAGAGACCAGAGGCTCCGAAGACATGGTGAGACATGGTGACTAAATGGGTAATGGGATCTCTTGGATAGGTTTCTGGAACAGAAAGAGGACATTAGGGAAAAACGAGTGAAATAGGAATAAAGTGTGCAGTTCAGTTGATGGCAACGTATCAGTGTTGGTTCCTTAGTTGTGACAAATGTACCATAGTAACCTAAGATGTTAACCTTGGGCAAACTGAGTGTAGGGTCTGTGAGAACTCTCTGCACTGTCTCTGTAACTTTTCTGTTAAAGAAAAAGCAGTCCCCGATGCACAGACTAGTTGAGTCTATCAATTTAAAATAACCACGTCCCTTTTGTTGTAATGGAAAGTGAAAATCACTGCATCGCTGAGCAGTTTGCCCGACCCATTTGGAGTCTGTCTCTATCATGTTACAAGACAACTGAAGAGCTGATAATGACCAGGAGCTCTTGCTTTTACCTCATTCTCCCTAGGATCTGCTGAGCCGTACAAGGGGCTTGGCTGTAAGTTGGCTCTTACAGTTCTTGGAACTCTATTTCTGTGAAATGACGCTCAACTGTGCTTGGTAGGGTCCCCGAGGTCAAGCTGCCCATGCCAAATCAACTTCTTTTTGTTGCCAGCATTTGCCAGTGTGACTTTCAGACTCTAGGTCTGGAAAGAGGAGGGAGGGTGGTGTAGTTGGGTTTCTTCAGAAAAGTCCTGTTATCTGGTTTAATGGTTTTGTTGCCTGTGCCCCTCTTTCGTGGACGTGGGATTTCTCATTAATGGATATGCACATTTTAGTGCTTTTGATAAAGATATTGCCAATTTGCCTTACAATTTTAGACTCTGTTCCAATCTACACTCCCACCAACTTTTTAGGAATTTTCCCTTTTCTAATCTTTCTCCGTGTCTGATGGTTAAATAAACAGCTCCCCAGTGGGTGACCTTGACTTTTATGATTTTGATCCTTTATAGTGGGGGCCCTTAAACTTGACAATACTCAATTCACACCCCTTAAATAGTGGGCACCCCAAAACAATGTTTATGACAACAGATTGTTTTCAAAAGTTATGTATAGGGTCTTATGTAGCATCCTCTCTGGGATAGGCACCAATCCAAAATCAGT